TCTTCTAATGGCTTTCCACGCCCTCAGAGTAAATCAAAATCCTTACTATAGTTCACCAGCTTCCCCCATGGCCATCTGTGTAGCCTACATGACCACCATTTCTCACATCTCTTCTCTGTACATATCATGGGAACACTGGGAACACCATTTCCTTTAATTTCCTTATTTTACTTCTAGTCTTCTCAAAGCATGTCCTCTGCGCCTAGGACACTCTTTATTCACTGGGCATTTTCACACCCAAAGAGTAAAAGTTTTAGGGCCGGTCACAGTGACTCACGCCTGTAATCCCAGCATTTTGGGCAGCCAAGGCAGCTGGATCACTTAAGGTCAGGAGTTCGAGATCAGCCTGGCCAACATGGAGAAACCCCATCTCTACTAAAAATACAAAAAATAGCCGGGTGTGGTGGTGCGTGCCTGTAATCCTAGTTATTAGAGAGGCTGAAGCACGAGAAATGCTTGAACCTGGGAGGTGGAGGGTGCAGTGAGTCGATATCACACCACTGCGTCCAGCCTGGGTGACAGAGTGAGACTCTGTCTCAAAAAAGAGTAAAAGTTTTAAGATAGCTTGTATCCTACTTACAGTCATGTTCCCAGACCCTAGCAGAGTGCTGAGCATATAATATGTGCTCAGAATGCATCCTAAGGAGAGAGAAAGAAAGGAAGGAAGAGAGAGAGAGAGAATGAGAGGGAAGAAGGGAGAGAGGAGTCCGTGAGTGGACACATAAACTTTTCCCAAATAAACCCATAAAACCACTGTTCTCTGAATAATGTTAGTATCGACTATCAAATTTTTATAATATTAAATCAATGGTGGATATAAAAATAGAAGGAGGGGTTGAAATATCCAAAATAAAGGTCAATCACAGTAAGTCTGGTTTGAAGGATATGAGTAAGTATAAGCCCAACCCTTAGAACATCATCAAACATATAATCATAAAGCTAGAAGACACCTTAGGTAGCTTCTAGATAAACACCCTTACTTTCTAGAAGAAGAAATAAAGATAAATGAGCCCTTATTCATTTTCTCACCTCCCTTCCTCCTCTGTCTATATGTAATGCAAGATTATGTTACTTTATTAGCTTTGCAAAAAGATTAAAGGTTACGGAAATTTGAACCAAATTTTCTTTTAGGGTGTTACTTCAATATGACCTAGACATTGAAATCTGAAAACAGATCCATTTGCCCATCCAGCCCAACACACCACAGCACGGATGGGTGGTGGCCGTTTAGGAGGAACTTGGACATAACCGTGTGGGTGCTGCGATTTAATGCTCTTCTTAAAAAGATGTGGAGAACACCACGAATGACAGCATTGGAGACTCGAAAGCTTTAGCAATCAGTTGTTTGTTTTCCCACCCCTAAGGAGACAAGCTAGAGCTGAACATCCTAACATAGCAAAACACCAAGAAGAGAAGAGGACCATGAAAAGAGGGGAAGGGAGGACATTAGTAAAGCAACAAAGACCACCCATTTGGGATAAAAGGATCTGTGCTATAGAGATAGACAGAAAAGTGACATTTACTTCAATAGCATGCGTTGAGTCATGCTATGTACTTAGTAATAGTGTGACTAGTCAAGTGAACTAAAGTTCTTGACACTTAGTTGCCTAATCTGCATAATAAGAATTTTAAAATTTGCTGTAACCAGTTTACCTGCAATGATCAAACTCAAAAGTGACAATGCGTGTAATTTTAAAAAAATTGTTTAAGTATCATGCAAATAATAATTCACAATTCTACCTGGGTAGGTCCACTTCTAAAAATTGGCAATTCTAGTTGCTTATAAATTGTGCAGATATAGGTATTTCAATGCCTAGAGTTTGGTCAATGGGCCACACTCTAAATCTGAAGGTGAGAAAGGAGAGAGCAATTCCACAGCTTGTCTATTACAGAAAATTTCTCGATACAGCATCAGTCTTTCCTAAATATTCATAAAGATATTAACTGGAGTTTTGGAAAATATGCACTTAAAGAGTTGATGAACATGTAGTCATTTCTGGTATATAGATACATTGACCAAATTTCCCAGGAAATGGTAGATTATTTCTCACTAACTTCTGGCTTCTATAACAATGGAAAGCCAAAAATGATTCTGAAACTGATGAATTTACTTACATTTTCAAACATTGTGATCAGTTTCCTAACTTAAGTAACACCAAAGCAAGGTTCCAGTCTGGGGAGTGGAATGAAGCCAAACATTAACTGAAATTTTATTTTGTCTACTTTACAGAAATCCCTTTTCAGAGTGAAAGCACTAAACCTTTGTGCTCATCTTTACAAAGTAATAGCAGTTTGAAGTAAATCGCTACATTTTCGGCATTGTTATTACACAGATAATTGCTTCTCACTCCCGTTGTCAAGTCTTAAGGTATTTATATAATAGACTTCTCAATAGTATCAGGAAAAATATAATTTTTTTACCTCCACAAGATCTATAGAAATAAAGATGTTCTCTCAGTGTCATAATCTAGTACTGGAATTATGTGGCAAAGTTTTGTTGTTGTTGGGTTTTTTTGTTTTTTTTGGTTTGGTTTGTTTTTTTCATTATCCAGTGGCATGAAATATTTCAATCACATGTAGCTTTCTGAAGCAACGGACTATGGGCTGAGGATTGAGGTTCCGGGAGCCACAGCAAGGCTATCCGATGCCATCTTTCTGTCTCACTGCTGGAAGTCGAGAATCACAGTGCTGATCATCAGAAACTGTGAGTTCAGAAACTCACTCTGGTCTCTAGAATTACTCTCCCCACTTTACCTCTGCTGCCCAGGAGATCCCCGAGACCCGTCCCTCTTGTGGAGCTCCTGATGGCATCTTCACTAGTAGCCCCTTGGCTCACATGGGAATATCCCCAGGTACTCCTCTCACGAGGGCTGTGAGGGAGGCATCATGATTGTAGTGTTCAAGCCCAGAGTCTCAAACTAATCAGTGCTTTCCTTCAAGTTCGAGCCTCCAGGAGGAGCCAAGGAGTTTTGAAGGCATTTCAAAGTTTGCAGTTTGTATTCTGCTGCACCAGAGACATCATTGAATCTTACAGCTGATGCTACCTTCTTTCCCACACCTGGATTCACCCTAAGTCCTGGAGAACAGCACATGGTGGAGAGAGACCCCTAACCAATGTTCCCCTCTGAAAGATAAGAGCAAGACACCTGGGGTGAGCTGGTGACTAAGGGATCTCTACTCCTAGATTCATGTCCATATTCATCCATGGAGTGAGAAAATCAGCCTGTACGTTACTAGTAAAGAAGCTAGTCTGTAAGAATGTATTGATTTAAGTATATATAAAAATACATAGAGTAAATTATAACTCCCCTAAGCGCAATTTCATTATATACCTTAAAAAATACATATTTCAGATGCCATTCACCTCACCACTAACAAAAGTGACAATGTCATTTATCATTCCAACCATGGTACCTTTTTTTTTTTTTTGAGACAGAGTCTCGCTCTGTCGCTCACGCTGGAGTACAGTGGTGTGATCTCGGCTCACTGCAACCTCCGCCTGCGGGATTCAAGTGATTCTCCTGCTTCAACCTCCCAGGTAACTGGGACTACAGGTGCCTGCCACCACTCCCAAATAATACTTCATTTGAATTTTCAGTAGAGACGGGGTTTCACTGTGTTAGCCAGGATGGTCTCAAACTCCTGACCTCGTGATCCACCTGCCTCGGCCTCCCAAAGTGCTGAGATTACAAGTGTGAGCCACCGCACCCAACCCCATGGTATTTTGACTACAAAATAAGACACTGATAATACATGAAAAAGTGGTCTACTATGGACCACTACCCTCAATGAAAAGAAACAAACTGTTGATATATTTGACAAACCAAGACTTTCTCCCCAAAACTAGGCTGTGTGGCCCCCTAAGTCTACCTGATGGGGAAAGGAAAAGTGAGTGGGAAATCAGGAATGTATTTTTTGGAGGGAGGTTTGTTTTAGGTTGGTTTGTGTTGCTGTTATGATTTGACCGTGATTCCTCCATAGAGTAACACGCAGTCAGTTCTTGTTGTTTGTGGTAATTATGTTCTTTAACGAATGTCATTGCTGTGAGCCCTGAATTAGCAAATACTGAACTGTTGTTCCCACGGGAAACACAGAGGATGTTCCTTCGAGCCTCTGGTCACACATTGTCATAAAACAATCAATACATGACCTTGTTTTGTGTGTGTTTCTGTTAAAGGACACCATGTTTAACATACATCATTGATTTATTAACATTGAAATCATGGCCAACAACACTGTAACTAACACATGAACAAGGCTTATCAAACACATCTCTTTTCTTCATATGGCACCTTGAAGCCTTCTTGCACTTAGGAATACTAGATGGTACTATATCACTGTAGTGAAAGCAATAGCAGAAAGCAGAAAATGAGAAGAATGTAGCACTAAATAGACCACACACCAAAAGGACAGTTGTGTACAGTATGAGACATAAAACAGGAGCAAGGCAGAATGTCGCCTTGTTGAACCTCATCTGGGAACATGCACTTTGGGTGACAGTTTTTTTGCTGCTCTCCACATGTCTGTGAAGGGACATGAAATGGCTGTGGCTATTGACTTGGGAGTTACAGGTAATTTTAGGGAGTAGGCAGGTCTGTAAACATGAAATCCATAAGTAATGAGGACTGACTGCAGATTCTTGTCCTTAATTCCGAGGTGTACCTTTATTTAAAGTTAAGCTCACCAAGTAGATTTCGAGAGATCTCTAAGAGTGGATCTAAAATGGAGAATAAATGACCTCAGGAAATACAGATAAAGTATGTCTCTTCAAACTGGTTTTGCACCAGTAATGTGACAGTGACCTGTCCTCTGCATCCTCGCTATGTTTGTTTTTGTCCCTATTTTCGTCATTCTGCTAGATGTGCAGTAATACTTTTCCATGGTTTTAATTTGCATTTCTCTAATAGTAAACAGCTTGGCAGTTTTTTAAACAGTTAAATATTCAACTGTACTTACATATGACCCAGCAATTGTTCTCTTTCGCATTTATTCCAGGGAAATGAGACAAACTTGAACATTGTGGCACATCTACTTGTAATAACCAAAACCTGGAAATAATCAGATATCTCTCCATGAATACATGGTTAAACAAAACACAGTACAACTTACTATGGATTACTACTCCCAATAACAAGGAACAAACTGTTGATGCATTCAACAACCTGGATGTATCACCAAAGAACTATGCCGACTGAAAATAAAGTCAGTTTCCAAAGATTACATACGGTATGATTCCCTTTATATAACATCCTTGAAATGAGAAAATGACAGAAATGGAGAAGAGACTAGTGGTTGCCAGGGGGTTAAGGTGGGAATCCATGCAGGAAGGAAGTGGGTGTAACGATAAAAGAGAAACATGAGGAATCCTTGCTGTGATGAAAATGCTCTGAATCTTGACTGTATCAATGTCAATGTCCTGATTATAATATTGTATTATGCTTTTGCAAGATGTTACCATTGGGGAAACCTGGGCATAAGCATATGAGATCACTCTCTTGTAGTTCTTACACATCCATGTGGATCTATGATTACCTCAACATAAAACATTTATTTATACATAAATGAAGGAAAAATAAAGACCTTCTCAAACCAGCCAATCAACTACACACACGCACACACACGTGCGCGTGCGCACATACACACACACACACACACACACACACAGTTTTATTCTTTCCAACTTTGAACTGATTCTTGTTCCTTCTTCATTCATTTAACAAGCTCTTACCCTTTAAAGAGGCTATAAAGAGAGATAAATTAGATATTAGTTCAGAAGATACATTTTTCAAATTTCTTATTAAATATATGTACATGTACAATTTAGTGAAAGCAAAAAAATCTTTGATAGTAATAATACTGAAGATCCAAATCTGTATTAAGTCAACTATTTAGTGATATAACTTTCATTTCAAAATGATTTTTACATAAAGTAAAAATGTGTACAATAAAGTAAATAATTTTAATGCAATTTATTCTTTTTTTTGCATGAGGAAACTGAGGCTCCCTTCTTATGTAGAAAAATGGATGGCATTGCCATTAGTGCAGAGTTGATTGGGACTAAATTACACTCCTTAGACCATAAAGTCTAGAACAGATTTGCAAAACCATGATGTGTCGTTACGGATGATCCAGTTTCTTTTTAATGAGAATCTTGGGGCATGAGCAAAGTCTCTATATAATGTACTAGTCTGTCGTATGGGCTCTCTCTATATTTTTCTATATATGAAGATACATAAGGAAAGGGCGGACAGTAATCACGTAGGATACATAAAATATTGTTTTCTTTCTCAAAGGAAAGGAAATGAGCCTCCTCAGGTTGGAATTTATATTAGATTTTGTAGATTGCTAGGGCTGCCATCACAAAGTACCACAGACAGGGACACTTAAAGAAAAGAAATGTCTCACGGTTCTGGAGGCTACAAGTTGAAGATCAAGGTGTCAGTGGGGTTGGTTGCCTCTGAAGCTGTGAGCTGGGGGAATCTGTTTCATGCCTGTCTCTGGTCACATCCTGGCCATTTTTGGTGTTCCTTGGCTTATAGAATCATTGCTCCAATTCCTGACTTACCTTCACATGTTGTTCTTCCTGTGGGAGTTTGTCTCTGTGTTCAAATTGCTTCCTTTAATAAGGACACCTGTCATACTGGATTAGGGTCCCACCCTCATCCATGAAGTATGACCCCATACTAACTAATTACCTCTTCAATGACCCTATTTCCAAATAAGACCACAGACTGAGGCACTGGAGGTTAGGGCTTCAACGTATGAATTTTGGGGCACACAATTCAACTCAACAGATTTTCTTTCTCATTCTTACCCAGTGGACAGGATATGACAGAAAAAGCCCTCATTAGGCTATCAAATAAATTGTGCCCAAGATGCAGTGGTAGAAAAATGTCCTAAGCAACATAAAGATAAGGAGACACTGTAATAGATATATTTTGGCCTTATTTTATCTAAATCAAAAGATTAAAAGTAAAACTCTGAATGCACTATATGCTTACAATTAACGCCATAACTTTCTTTTGCATTAATACTAGAAGAAAACTAGACATTTTCTAAAAGTTATTTTCTTCTACTTTCTGAAGGTTTTGAAAATGCTGATGTAAATTTTTCAACTCTAAGTATAGGTGACCAAAATTATTACAACGTTTAATCTGAAATAAATGTTAAACGAACAACACTTTCTTTCATTCCAAAAGTTATTGAAATAGGAATATCATCAAAACTAAACTGGTTTAGGAAAGCTAAATATATACTAAGAAATAAAAATAAATATAGTAATACTTTTAAAGTTCCCTGATTTTTATTATAAGTACTTTGTTTAAATGTGTACATATTAAGAGCTATGAGAAGGTTATATAACCATATTCATACAGATTTGTCTCTATATAATACAGAGCAATAATAAACTTACTTTTAAAATTCAAATCAGTTGTTTTAAACTGGGTAGACCAATGAGTTGATTGACTTCAGGGTTTTTTCCCCACTTTTGAAGCAGATATGCTGACATCCTGTAGACATATCCTGAGATGATTATTCAAAGTGCAAATTAATGTCATACCCCACACATTCAAACCTCCTCCTCCTCTGACTTTGGTTCTTTTGCTTTTTCTCACCCATGTGCACATCAAAGACATTCTGTAATGGGAGTAATGGAACGTTGGTTCCTAGGGAAGGTGAATGAAAATTTCTGCAGAATACTACTTTTTAGCCATGAAAAGACAGAAAAAAACGGGTGGGTGGCTTCAAATGTAAGTAGGGGGAAAAACAAATTCTAAGAAATCAGAGGGTTTGGTACCCATTTGGAAAGACATGAGCTATTTTTAGATGTAAAGAGGATGTGATGATTAACCTGAAGCCTAAAGCCATGTAAATCCAAATGCAGCACTTTTCAATATACGAATGCACTGTTAGACATTACCATGGTACTGAAATATGAGTAAGTAAAAGAAGATATTTTCCATTTTTAATTTAAAAAAGGCTTTCAATTATGCCTGGAAGAAACAGTATATTATTAGGTATACAAGGAAATGTGATTTCAAAATTTTATTGACAAAAAGTAGTACATTTGAAAAATGTTGAAAAAAGCTTCCTAAAAGAATCATATGTTTTAAATGTTGGGAGTGGCTGACTCCCAAATGTCAGTCAAACAGGTGTAATGGAGGTAGAATTGTTTTATTTTGAGTCTTAATAGTTTTCAAGCATTCTAAGAATTCTCAGCTATCCACTTTTTACACATGAAATTCTGGAGCTAGTGACGCAAGTGAATTATTTCCCTGAAAATGTCACCATGCAACTCAAGAAATTTTGTACCATGACTATGCATGTAGCTTTACATTGGTGTATTCCTGAACTTGGTTCTCATACCCTTAGCTCTCTCTTAGCCTCCATCCCACTAGTGTACTTAAGGTCATAGTTTTATCCTGCAACTGTTTAGTTTTATTTTAATCAGGTTTCAGTCTAATAATTAAAAATTAAGAGATATTCCTAAACACATCTAGATAAAAGAAACAAAAAATAAATGAATAAAAGATAATGATAATTTAGCATAATGAGACCAATCTAAGCTTTTTAATTGCAAATATTACTTAGCATCCCAGAGCCTTTGTTTTCTGATCATTTATAAAATATGGGAAAGTATTTTTACCTGGTTTGTTGTTACAGGAATTAGATGGCATTAAATGTAGAGAGTTTCGTGGATGCGACAAGTAACAGTGTTGTTATGATTCTGGAAATATGTGACTATTGTTAGTTAATGATACTGCTTTTGCTCAGATTAAAATTGTGGATTAGCTCTTCACAAATACATAGCGTATATATATTTTATATACTATAAAATATATATATAGCAAAGTTACAACAAGGGTTTACCCAATTAATGTTGTCCATATCTTCAACTGAGAAGAGATTGCTTTTGGTGGAAAATGGTTAATCAAACCTGAGCACTCCCTTGCCTAAAGCTTTTATTGAAGGTGATCTTTTTTATTTATAGTCATTTCATTTATGATGCTAGATGGTCAACATATTCTATACATTTCACAAAATGTGAATGCAGTAGTTATCATTGTATGACACTGTCTAGTTAATTGACTCCCCAAGAGTTGGAGTTGAAAATGTCTTTTATCTTTTTATTCTTATTTTTTCATTTAATATCCTACAAGAACAAACATCCTTCCAATATTTTTTTCTTTGAAGCATTGAGAAAGATTAATAAGAAAACTAAAAAATAACATGTTTATTATAGAGAGGCTGGGCTCACCCTCAAAGTATCTATCCTGAGAGGATTGCAACTCTTTGTGTCAAAAATGTCTAACCTGGGTCCTATCTTCTCCATTGGACCTATAATATAAATAATTATTATCCATTATTATTTATAAAAGATACCTATTCCTAATGACTTTGTTAAGAAGAGTGGCTTGTATAAGCCTTTTCTAGTGACCCTAATGTGTACGTGTATGCACTAGTTCAAACTGTAATGACACTCTCTCTCTTTCTCTCTCTCTCTGTCCACCTCTCATTTTCTCTTTTTCTTTCACAGTATAGAGATGTATAACTCCAGCAATTTCAAAGAAGTTTTCAAAGAAGAACTTCCCTGCAACCCTCCTCATAGAGCTATTGACCTGGCATCCTGGACTTTGAGGAACTAAGATTGTTACTCACTTAAAGCTATTGCTTCTTTCGCATTCTTTCTTCTAAGACAAAATTACCTGCCCTGTACTACCAGGTAAAGGAGAATGTCAAAAGACTGCAGATCAAGTATAGTAAGTGTGTTTCCATTTGGGAAAAGCCACTGAATGGAAAAGCAAATATATTTGTTATGTGATTCTGATTACCCGGATTATAATTTTCCTGGGACATTTCATTTTGCAGTAAAACTATGCAACTTGAAAGGTATAAGAACAACATTTTAAAAAATTAAAATTTTTTTAAAAATTAAAAAAGTCTTGTAAAAAATATAAAAGCACAAATAAGAAAAGCTTCTCAGAATTAAAACTGGAGACCAGAGGAAAATAATTCCTGTTGATGAGTAATTACATGGGTGACAGTTTAACAGGGAAAAGCAAGAAAAAAAGAGTCTGTCACTAACCAAGGGTAGCATGTGATATAAAACAGAAAACAGATTGACTAGCCTTTGAGAGTAGAATTCTTGACCATCCCATTCAGGGGCTAGCAAAGTAGCTTCTTAACTACTTTTTCCGTCCCTTAAAAGTCTGGAGAGGCTCCCCTTTCTAACATGTCTACCAAGCTGAGTTTTTTTTTTTTTTTTAACTTTTCAATATAGTCATTTAAATAAATTAACCACTAACCCCTAGGATGACAGAAACATGGGATTACTATTCCTAAACAACTCTGTTGTTGATCTTCAAATGTTGTCATTAGTCAATTTTGCTCCATATTGCATCAGGTCTGGGCTTACTGAAGGAAGAATAATTTCTTGGAGAACATTTCTACGCAACTGATGGAAAGGTGAAGCAGGTTATAGAATCACCATTCTACTGACAGGTAAATTTCTGAGAAGACTGGCTCTGGTTTGAGAAAAACCAAATGGATTACCTCTCAATATCAGGTTACTATTATTAATAAGTCAGATTCCCAACTTGTGTATACATTGATAGAAATGAAAGATTGGACTCATGGACCACCCAGAGACTGGCGTTTAACATTTGAACACTTTTCATCAGTGAATCACCCTGTCATTTTGGAGAAAACGACACCTTCTCAGCTGAACTAGAAATCAGGTTTTCACATGTTTTTCATGATAGTTTTCAGAATGCTTGCGTAAAGATAAACCCTGTTGGTCGTAATACACTTCAAAGCTTTTTTTTTCCTACTTTGTCTTCCAATAAGTTATCCCATTGACACTGTTATCTAACCACTCCGTGCCTTTGTTTACTCTCAGAAAAGATAGTTCTAGTTTATAAACCACTTTGACCATCTTTCCAGGAACATTCTTTATAAAGTGCAAAGTGTTCTCATTTGCATTTTGTCCTGTTGGTGTGAGGCGATATGTTCAGGGATTGAGCTTACAGTGGTAACATGAACTGACTCTTTTCTAAACGTGAGGGAGACGCTCAGTCATGCAGTGGCACGGAGCGACTCCAGCAGAATAAAGCAGAGTTATCGGGATACTCTGTCTCGGGCATTATAATGACTCTGTTGGTGACAGCTTGTCTACTGCCTGGTGGCATTAATAAAGAACACTGTTTCTGGGGGAAATTGTTGTGTTGGCCTGGCTTTCATGTGATATGCCAAGACATAGACCCCATTCAAATGAGTCACTTTGCGTTTCACTACAGACAAAGGTACCTTGGAAAATAGTATTTGGGAGTTTCACTGTACTGTACTTTGTTTTTATTCTTGAGAGGAACCTTCGATCATTTAAAGTAGATTTTGCCTTCACCCCCTACCCCCACCCAATAAAACAAACCGGGAAATGCTCATTTACATATTTTAGTTTGATCACGGTCAACTCTCTTCTATCGCCATTTCACTGCTCACAAAATACATATATTTAAAAGTGAAAATACTGAAATATGACTTCACAATACAGCTAATACTACCAGTAGAAAATTCACGTCACCATGTTCAGTAGACAAACGTGAGAAGCAATGAGGTGTCAGATTGGAAATTTGGGAGGGATTCTCAGAAATAAGTAACTTCAATAGGTTGCTTTTTGCATAGTGCAAAATTGAACTTCACTTTATTTAGTGGAAGTGACCCAATTCAATCTTATCTGAGGTCAACACAGCTTATTTCATTTGTGTTTGACTACTGCACATTTTGTCATTTAAAAATTTAAGGAGAGGAAGTCAAGGTTATAATGAGAACTACGAAAGACAGATGCCACAGTAAAGACTTTTGTGTTGTTATTGTTTTTGTTTTGGTGGTGATTTGATCCAAAACAGGAGCATGTAGATTTGGAATTCACACATAAAATTCATACTTCAGAAGACCCAGCAATAGTAGTTGTGAGACAGCTAATCACTGAAGACTTTCTGCATTATTTTTATAACAGAGAGATTGAATGATTTACATACTCTATCCTGCAAGTATACATTTAAATTCCTACACATATAATGTGAAAAATATCCCAGAATAATGGCATCCTATCTGCATGTCATTATTCAAATAGAATAGAAAATAGGATAAAGAAGAGAGAGAGAAAAGAAAAAAATAAAAGACATGAGATATTCTGGTTATAGAAGCTCACTTATTTAGTGAAGTGATCAGGATGCTTTTATGAGTCCTGGATGTGGCTACTTTGAAAACCGATATGTTTGTGAGTAATGCCCGCCCAATTAAACCTAGGAGCCCAATTCAAATTCTACTTATATGAAAAGGAGGAACCCCTGAAAACCACCAGAAGGCAACCTTGGCCCAGAGCAAGAGTGGAAGAGCAATGAATCAAACAGAGCATACTAAACATCCTAAAGAATATTCACTGAGGAGACAGGGCTTCTATCTCATCTGACAACCTGTGGGTGGAAAGATTTCTTAGCAGTTTCAAAAAATTATATAGGCCAGGCACAGTGGTTCTTGCCTATTATCCCAGGACTTTGGGAGGCTGAAAGGGGCAGATCACTTGAGCCCAGGAGTTCGAGACCAGCCTGGGAAACATGGTGAGATGCTGTCTCTACAGATAATAATAATAATAATAATAAATTAACTAGGAATGGTGGCATGCACCTGTAGTCTCAGCTACTTGGGAGGCTGATGTGGGAAGATTGCTTGAGCCTGAGAAGTTGAGGCTGCAGTGAACCATGATTATGCCACTGCCCTCCAACCTGGGCAACAGAGCAAGACCCAGTCTCTCTCTCTCTCTCTCTCTATATATATATACACACACACACACACACACAACACACATATAGATAGATTATATACAGAGAGATTATATGTAGATTATATATACACATTTAATATATATAATATTATATATAGATTATATATATAATCTAGAAGATGATTATTCTAGTTGATTTGCAAGTTCTTTATTTCTATACTACATATTGCTCTGAACCAAGGACAATTTTTAAGCAATTTATATGGATCATTTGGCATATTTTTCATACATACATATATATATAGAGAGAGATAATCTATATAATATATATAATAAAATTATAAATATATTATTTTTAAAAAAGAAAGAGGAAACGTTATAGTTTGCCCCAACCTGCATAGAGAAATGCTAGCTTCTTCACTCATTTATCTTTTCTTCTTTCATTGTTTGATTAAAAGGAATAAGCTGTTGATGAGCTCCTGGATGAAAAACTGTACCTGCTTCAGCAGTATAGGAGAACAAAGATGTGAAGAGTGACAGGAAGCGTGAAATCCTGACGAGCACACTTCCTTGATGCCCTCAGACAGATGTCCTTCTTGGGAAGATGGTTAGCTCCAGTGACCTTATGCTGTAACATATAAAAGAGAGAATTGGTCCAGAGTGTGTTCCTCTGTGTTGCCAATAAACTACCTTTTGCTTGCTCCAGTGGGAGGATGTATTGGGGGGGGGTTAAGTGGAGTATGTATGAATAAAATGAAAATAATTGGATCTATGGTATACTCTGCATTGATGGGCAAATGCTAACATTATTTGAAAGCCCAGTAAAGGAGAGCGAGGATGAGAAAAGAAAGAATTCAACTTATAAAATAAAAAATCAAAATAGCCATGTCAACTCAGTCAGCCTCCTATTAATTTGGAAATAATCCAATTTTAGCTGAGCCATCCAATTCCAGGGATTAACATAAAATTAAGTCATTCCTAGGTATATCAAGAGTTTTCTAAGTGTATTGGCTTCTTACTTTCAAGAAAGCAAAATCTATTTGGGCGCTAATATCCTTACATGTTCTTATTTATTTTGGTGGATTTAGTAGAGCCTGGACTGATATTCAAAGTTGTTTCAGGAGAAAATCAAAGAAAATTTACCAGAAGAAAAGTGTGTGCCAAATAGTCATTCATTAAAGCAAACCAAACCAGTCAGGTGCAGTGGTTCCCGCCTGTAATCTCAGCACTTTGGGAGGCCAAGGTGAGCAGATCACAAGGTCAGGAGTTCAAGACCAGCCTGGCCAACAGAGTGAAACCTCGTCTCTACTAAAAATACAAAAAATTAGCCGGGCGCGGTGGCGGGTACGTGTAGTCCCAGCTATTAAGGAGGCTGAGGCAGAAGAATGGAGGCTGCAGTGAACCATGATTATGCCACTGCCCTCCAACCTGGGCAACAGAGCAAGACCCAGTCTCTCTCTCTCTCTCTCTCTATATATATATACACACACACACACACACACAACACACATATAGATAGATTATATACAGAGAGATTATATGTAGATTATATATACACATTTAATATATATAATATTATATATAGATTATATAATCTAGAAGATGATTATTCTAGTTGATTTGCAAGTTCTTTATTTCTATACTACATATTGCTCTGAACCAAGGACAATTTTTAAGCAATTTATATGGATCATTTGGCATATTTTTCATACATACATATATATATAGAGAGAGATAATCTATATAATATATATAATAAAATTATAAATATATTATTTTTAAAAAAGAAAGAGGAAACGTTATAGTTTGCCCCAACCTGCATAGAGAAATGCTAGCTTCTTCACTCATTTATCTTTTCTTCTTTCATTGTTTGATTAAAAGGAATAAGCTGTTGATGAGCTCCTGGATGAAAAACTGTACCTGCTTCAGCAATATAGGAGAACAAAGATGTGAAGAGTGACAGGAAGCGTGAAATCCTGACGAGCACACTTCCTTGATGCCCTCAGACAGATGTCCTTCTTGGGAAGATGGTTAGCTCCAGTGACCTTATGCTGTAACATATAAAAGAGAGAATTGGTCCAGAGTGTGTTCCTCTGTGTTGCCAATAAACTACCTTTTGCTTGCTCCAGTGGGAGGATGTATTGGGGGGGGTTAAGTGGAGTATGTATGAATAAAATGAAAATAATTGGATCTATGGTATACTCTGCATTGATGGGCAAATGCTAACATTATTTGAAAGCCCAGTAAAGGAGAACGAGGATGAGAAAAGAAAGAATTCAACTTATAAAATAAAAAATCAAAATAGCCATGTCAACTCAGTCAGCCTCCTATTAATTTGGAAATAATCCAATTTTAGCTGAGCCATCCAATTCCAGGGATTAACATAAAATTAAGTCATTCCTAGGTATATCAAGAGTTTTCTAAGTGTATTGGCTTCTTACTTTCAAGAAAGCAAAATCTATTTGGGCGCTAATATCCTTACATGTTCTTATTTATTTTGGTGGATTTAGTAGAGCCTGGACTGATATTCAAAGTTGTTTCAGGAGAAAATCAAAGAAAATTTACCAGAAGAAAAGTGTGTGCCAAATAGTCATTCATTAAAGCAAACCAAACCAGTCAGGTGCAGTGGTTCCCGCCTGTAATCTCAGCACTTTGGGAGGCCAAGGTGAGCAGATCGCAAGGTCAGGAGTTCAAGACCAGCCTGGCCAACAGAGTGAAACCTCGTCTCTACTAAAAATACAAAAAATTTAGCTGGGCATGGTGGTGGGCACCTGTAAACCCAACTACTAGGGAAGCTGAGACAGGAGAATCACTTGAACCCAGGAGGTCGAGGTTGCAGTGAGCTGAGATTATGCCATTGGACTCCAGCCTGGGTGACAGTGTAAGACTCCATCTCAAAAAAAAAAAAAAAAAAAGCAAACCACCAAAGTCAAAGCTCTAGAAGATGTTTCTTCCAGTTGATTTGCAAGTTCTTTATTTCTATACTATATATTTCTCTGAACCAATAATTTTTAACCAATTTATTTGGATCATTTGGCATATTTTTCATTATTATTATAATTTTCAGGCCTCAAATATATCTCCTTAAAGTTTTCACTGAGCTATAGAGGGATATATGTGTGTGTGTATATCTATCTATCTATCTATCTATCTATCTATCTGTCTGCCTGTCTGTCTATCTATCTATCTATCCATCTATGAACTATCACCTAGTTCAACATAACATAAAATTATATCATTTAGGAGTAATAATATTACAATGTTTAATCCAATTTGATGTCTTAACGCAGTACTTACGTTTTGAAAATAAGGTGTGAAAACATATTCTCTTAATTTTGAATTCAATTCCAAGCCTATTGAAAAGCTGAGAGCTCAAAAGCTGTGCACATTGAATAATAACAAATGGCTGGAAACAAGTTTTCCCATACATATAGAAAACAAAGGGAAACTGAAGGAAGTAAATTTCAGTAGCAAATATCAGGCAATGACATTGTTTTCTTGCGTCAAGTGAGTCTAGACTGAACACAAATACATACATTCACACAAAAAGACTGTGTTAAAAATACATTCTCTTTTATTTTTTGTATTTGAGAGCTCGATATTTAAAAACGTGGTATCACACAAATATTTCGGGAGGTGCCTCCAAGGGAAAATTAGTAAATAATTACTGGGCACTTACTGTGGAGCAGCCATATTACAAAGAACTAGGTTAAAATCATTCTACCATTTGGTAGAATGTACAAAATCATAAAACGTTTGGATACTATCTTCTGAAAACCGTTTAACGGTAGGTACATCATTTATCGAGTAAGAGCAGAACCTCTCTTCCCTGTGCGTATCTCATTGTAAAAATTTACACAAAAAATCAAACACAACCCACAAACAGAAGATAAACATGGGGGAAAAACACACATAAATTTCTTATGCAAAAAAATTAGACAGTTTTGAGAGGTATGAGGATACTAAGAAAACTGAGTACCAGCTCAAACGTTTGAGAATTTCAACAATCTCTGTGTTTTGGTGACTTCATCAGTAACAGACCTCACACATTTCTTAGCTTGGAAAACATGACACAGGAGGGAATCAGGCTCTGACCATGGTTTCCCACTCGAAGGGACATGTCAACACAAGAAATGGCTAAATTTATATTCACAATCATTTAAAACAGGGAAGTTTGACCTGAATAATGTGCACCTCAGCCTCCTAATTAGGCTAGGACTACAAGGATATGCTGCCACCAAACCCGGCTATTTTATTTTATTTCAGTTTTTAAAGACACAGTCTCACTCTGTTGCCAAGGCTTGTCTTGAAATCTTGGCCTCAAGAAATCCTCTCACTTGAGCCTCCCAAGTAACTTCATTGTCTTTTTCTTTTACTTAGAAGTTATCTGTGTACATTTATATCTCTATCTGTCTACCCAATAATGTCGATGTTAACACACAATAAATAAAATACAACACAATAGGGAAAATGTGTGTGGAGTTTCAGAACGGATACAGTCCTTCACTCCCATTTAATATTCTTGTCAATGTTAAAATGATGACATGTCTAACTCAGGCTTTCTCGCTTCAAAACGGAGAAAGGGATCATGGAAGAGAAAGAAACAGGTTAGAATAAAGTTCTGAAAAGTGAGGCCTGTGACACTGACCAAACTTCCTTCTGGGGCCATTTTCTTTAGGTGGGTCACATAGTAGGATGTCCATGGATCAGACCATTGAAGGGTCTAGTTTATGAGCGCTGTAAGGCAAGGTCAGAATTATTTTTAAAAGCTCTCATACATCAATCTGACTATCTTCATCTTAGGTCACATAAACATTTTCTGTGTTGTAGAAAGTTATATTATTTGATCTTAGCGTGGATTTCTGGAGTAATTTTATTGAATACATTTATTTACTTAGTATATTGGGGTCATTTCTGGTAACTATGGAGTTATTGATATTCCATTTGTTATATTAAAATGGCCCAAAAAGTACAGTACTATGAAATAAGACAGGCCCAGGAACACTGCTGTTCTACCTTTGCATAATCTATGCTTCATCCAATTAATATAAAAGGACTTTAATTTACTGACATGTTTTCAGGTTGTGCAATGTGTTCACAGATCACGATGCTAGTTTGCTTACGCCTGCACAAACTTGGCTTTTCCTCTTGGCTTTTGTCTTTTTCAACCCCACCCTTTTGCTTCTTTGAAGTCATTGCTTTCTTAACCAAGTTGAGAATACTTATATAAGTAGGGCATTGCTGACATGGTATCCATCTACTTTTTTTTTTTTTTTTTTGGCTAAAAAAAGAAAGAACTTCCTCATCTAGTGGGAGCATCGCTCCGTCATGCTCCAGGTCCCATTCCTGCTCCCACACACCCAGAGATTTGCACTTGTTTTATGTAAGAGCTGCTTTCTAAAGAGTCTGGCCACTGAATGGCTTTCTCAACAGTAAAAACTAGGCACAATTCTGATAGCCCATCTTTCCATCAGTTCAGCTAACTTTCACTGTACACCTTGCATTCACTGGTCACTGTGCAAAAAAACCAGGGATGAAAAAATTCAAAGCCAGCAACATATAAGGCACAATTCCTCTACTCCAGGAGTTCACAGACTGGTGAAGGCAGACACAGGCAAAAGAGTAGAACTCAGTCCAATAACTAAAGAATTGATCCCTGCATACTAGGTGTCTCTGTACCATGAGTGTAATGCAGGTGATGT